TGCCGACAGCCGACATCTGAGCGGCGGACGGAGCGGACCGGAGGAAGGAGGACCGGAGCAGCGGAGAAACGGACCGGAGCCGGAATGGAGGACCGGAGGAAATAAGATGGACCGGAGGAAGGGTGGAGCCGGAGGAAACGAATGGAGGAAATCGAATGGAAGGAATGACCGGAAGGATGGAGGATATGAACCGGATGGAAGGAGTGGACCGGATGGAATGAAGGACCGGAGCCGAGGACCGGAGGAACGACGGAGGAAACGGATGGACCGGAGCCGGAGGGAGGAAATGATAACGGAAGGACCGGATGGAATGGACCGGAGCCGAGGAACGGACCGGAGCCGAAGGAAATGGAGGGAAGGAGGATGGACCGGAAGGAGTGATCGAGGAGGAAGGAGGGAGGACCGGAGGAAAGGAGAGGAATGGACCGGACCGGAGGAAGGAAGGAGGAAGGAAGAGGGACTGGAGGAAGGACCGGAGGAACGAATGGAAGAGGAAGGACCGGACCGGACCGGACGAGGAAGGAAGGAAGGAGGACCGGAGGAATGGAGGACCGAAGGAGGAAGGAAATGAGGAAGGAGTGGAAGGATCGACGGAGTGGAGGACCGGAAGGAAGGAGGACCGGAGGGACGACGGAAGGAAGGAAGGAGGAACGGAGGAAGGAACGGAGGAAGGAGGAAGGAAGGACCGGAGGAAGGAGGACCGGAGGAAGGAGGAATGGAGGAAGGAAGGGAAGGAGGACAAGGAGGACCGGAGGAACCGGAAGGAGGAAAGGAAGGAGCCGGAGGAGAGGGAAGGAGGACCGGAAGGGTGGAGGACAGGAATGGAAAGGAAGGAGGAAGGAAGGAGGAAGGAAGGACCGGACCGGAGGAAGGAAGGAGGAAGGACCGGAGGATGGGAAGGGAGGACTGAGGAAGGAGGAGGAAGGAGGAAGGAAGGAAAGGAGGAAGGAAGGAGGACCGGAGGACGGAGGAAGGAAGGAGGACAGTGGAGGGAAGAAGGAGTGGACCGGAGGTGGAGGAAGAGAGTGGAGGAGGGATGGAAGGAAGGACCGGAGGAAGGAAGGAAGGAATGGAGGAGGAGGAAGCCGGAAAGGAGGGAGGATGGAAGGAGGACCGGAAGGAAAGAGTGGAAGGAAGGAGGAAGGAGGAGGGAGGAAGGAATGAAGGGAAGGAGGGGAGGAAGGAGAACTGGAGGAGGAGAGGAAATGGAGGAGGGAGGAGGGAGGAATGGAGGGACTGGAGGGAGTGGAAGGGAAGGACCGGAGGAGTGGAAATGGAATGGAAGGAAGGAGGAAGGAGGGAAGGGAAGGAGGAAGAAGGAGGAAGGGAGGAAATGGAGGGAAGGAAGGAGGAGTGGAAAGGAATGGAATGGAGGAAAGGAGGAAGGAAGGATGGAGGACTGGAGGAGGAGGAAAGGAGAGGAAGGAAGGAGGAATGGAAGGAAATGGAGGAATGGAGGGAGGGAGGGAAGTGAAGGAAGGAATGGAGGGATGGAGGGAAGGAGGGAGGAAGGAGTGAGGAAGGAAAAATGGAAGGAGGGAAGGAGGGGAGGACTGGATGGAAGTGGAGGAAGGAGGAGGAAGGAGGAATGGAGGAATGGAGTGGAAGGAAGGAGTGGAGGAGGAAGGGGGAAATGGAAGGAGGAATGACTGGAAGGAATGGAAGGAAGAGGAAGGACTGGAGGAAGGAGGAAGTGGAGGAAGGAATGGAATGGAGCCGGAGGAAGGAAAGGAATGGAATGGAAGGAGGGAGGAAGGACCGGAGAGGAGGAAGGAGTGGAAGGAGGAATGGAGGAGGGAAGGAGGGAATGGAGGAAGGAAGGAAGGAAGGACGGAAGGAAGGAGGACCGGAAGGAAGAAGGAATGGAGTGGAAGGGACCGGAGGAGGGAAGGAGGAAGGAGGAAGGGAGGAAGGAGTGGAGGAAATGGAGGGACTGAAGGAGTGGAGGATGATGGAATGGAGGATGGAGTGGAAGGAGAGGAAGGAAGGAGTGGAGGGAGGAGGAAGGAGGACCGGACCGGGAAGGAATGGAGTGGAGGAAGAAGGAGGGAAGGAGGACGGAGGGAGGAATGGAGTGGAGGAAGGAAGAAAGGAGGAAAGAAGAGGACCGGAAGGAGCCGGAAGGAAGGAAGGACCGGAGGGAGAGTGGACGGAGGGAGAGGTGGAGAATGGACCGGAGGAATGGAAGTGGAGGAGGAAAGGAGGAGGACCGGAGGGAGGAAGGACCGAGTGAATGGAGGACCGGAGGGAGGAAGGAGGAAATGGAGGAAAGGACCGGAGGGAGGAGGAATGGAAGGAAGGAAAGGAGGAATGGAGGACATGGGAGGACCGGAGTGGAAAGGAGGGAGGAGGAAGGAGTGGAAGGAAGGAGGACCGGAGGAAAGGAGGAAGGAGGACCGAAGGAAGGAGGAAGGAGGAAGGAATGGAGGAAGGAGGGAGGAGGAAAGGAACGGAGGACCGAAGGGGAGGACCGGAGGAAGGAAGGAGGAATGGAGGAAGGAAAGGAGGACCGGAGGAGGAGGAGGGAGGGAGGACCGGAGGAAATGGAAGGAGGAAGGAGGAATGGAGGAAAAGGAGGAAGGAAATGGAGGACCGGAGGAAGGAAGGACTGGAGGAAGGAGTGGAGAAGGACCGGAAGGAAGGAAGGAGGAATGGAAGGAGGAGGAGGAAGGAAATGGACCGGAGGAGGAAGGAGGAAGGAGGGAGGAGGAAGGAGGAGGGAGGAGGACCGGAACGGATGGAGGACCGGAGGAATGGAAGGAAGGAGGGAGGAAGGAATGGAGGAAGGAGGAATGAGAAGGAGGAGGAAAGGAGTGGACCGGAGGAAGGAATGGAGGACCGGAGGAAGGAAGGAGGGACCGGAGGAGGAAGGAAGGGAAGGAGGAAGGACCGGAGGAAGGAGGGAGGAAGGAGGAATGGACCGGAGGAGTGGAGGAAATGACGGAGGAAATGGAAAGGAAGGGACCGGAGGAATGAGGAAGGAGGAAATGAAGGAAAGGAAGAGGAAGAGCGGACTGGAGGAAGGAGGGAGGAATGGAGGGGAGGAGGAGGAAGGAGGGAATGGAAGGAGGGAAGGAGGAAGGAAGGAAGGAGTGGAGGGAAGGAATGGAGGAAGGAGGAAGGAATGGAGGAAGGAGGAAGGAAAGGAGGACCGGAGGACCGAAGGAAGGAGGAGAGGACAGAGTGGAGGAAGGAACCGGAGGAAGGAGGAAGGAAGGAGGACCGGAAGGAGGAAGGAGGGAGGAAGAAGGGACCGGAGGACCGGAAGGAGTGGAAGGACCGGAGGAGGAAGGAGGACCGGAAGGAGGAGTGGAAGGGAGGACCGGAGGAAGAGAGGAGGGAGGAAGAGGAGGAGGGAGGAAGGAGGAGGAAGGACCGGATGGAGGAGGAAGGACCGGAAGGAAGGAAGGAGGAAGGACCGGAGGAAGAGGAAGGAGGGAGTGGAGGAGGAGTGGACCGAGAGGAGGAAGGAATGGAGGAAATGGAGTGGAGGAAGGAGGAGTGGAAGGAATGGAGGGACTGGATGGAGGAGGAAGGACTGGAAGGAGGAAGGAAGGAAGGATGGAATGGGACTGGAGTGAAGGAGGAAGGAGGGAAGGAAGGAGTGGACTGGAGGGAGGGAGGAGGAGGAAGGAAGGGAGGAAGGAGGAAGGACTGGAGGAGGAATGGAAGGAAGGAAGGAGGACTGAGGGAGTGGAGGAAGGGAAGGAATGGAGTGGACTGGTGGAGGAGGAAGGAGGAAGGAGGAGGAAGGACGGAGTGGAATGGATGGAGGTGAAGAGGAGTGGATGGAGGAGTGGAAGGAAGGGAGGAAGGACTGGAGGAAGGAAGGGTGGAGGAGTGGAAGGAGTGGAAGGGTGGAAGAAGGAAGGACTGGAGGAATGGAGGAAGGAGGAAGTGGAGAGAATGGAAGGAGGAGGGACTGGAGGGAATGGAAATGGAGGAAGGAAGGATCAGGAGTGGAAGGAGAGGAAGGAGGACGGAGGAATGGGATGGAAGGAAGTGGAATGGAGGAAGGAAGGAAGGAGGGTGGACTGGAAGGAGGAAGGAAGGAAGGAGGAAAGGAAATAGGGAGGAATGGAGGGAAGTGGAAGGAGAATGGACGTGAGAGGAGTGGAAAGGAAGGAAGGAGGGAATGGAGGGACTGGAAGAGGAGGAAGGAATGGAAGGAAGGAATGGAAGGAATGGAGTGGGTGGAGGGAGGAGTGGAGTGGAGGGAAGAAGGACTGGAGTGGGTGGGTGGAGTGACTGGAGCAGAGTGCGGAGCAAGGGAAATGGGTGTAGTGAGGGTAGCGTGGTGGGTGGAGTGACTGGAGCAGGAGTGAGTGGAGCAAGGAAGAGGAGGTGTACTGAGAGTAGCGTAGTGGGTGGAGTGACTGGAGCGGAGTGAGTGGAGGCCCGAGGAAGAGGGTGTAGTGAGGCAGGCGTAGTGGGTGGAGTGACTGGAGCGGAGTGAGTGGAGCAGGGGAAGAGGGTGTGAGTGAGAGTAGCGTAGTGGGTGGAGTGAATGGAGCAGAGTGAGTGGAGCTGAGGGAAGAGGGGTGTAGTGAGAGTAGCATGTGAGTGGGTGGAGTGACTGGAGCGGAGTGGAAGGAGAGCAAGGGAAGAGGGGTAGTGAGAGTAGCGTAGTGGGTGGAGTGACTGGAGCAGAGTGAGTGGAGCGAGGGAAGAGGGTGGAGTGAGAGTAGCGTAGTAGGTGGAGTGACTGGAGCAGAGTGAGTGGGAGGAGGGAAGAGGGTGTAGTGAGAGGAGCAGCGTGGTTGTGGAGTGACTGAGCCGAGAGGGTGGGTGAGTGAGGGAAGAGGGTGTAGTGAGAGTAGCGTGAGTGGGTGGAGTGACTGGAGCAGAGTGAGTGGAGCAAGGAAGACGGTGTAGTGAGAGTGTAGCAGTGGGTGGAGTGACTGGAGCGGGGTGAGTGGAGCATGAGGGAAGAGGGTGTAGTGAGAGTAGTGTAGTGGGTGGAGTGACTGGAGCGGAGTGAGTCGAGCGAGGGAAGATGGTGTAGTGAGAGTAGCGTAGTGGGTGGAGTGACTGGAGCGGAGTGAGTCAAGCAAGGGAAGAGGGTGTCGTGAGAGTAGTGTAGTGGGTTGAGAGACTGGAGCGGAGTGAGTCGAGCAAGGGAAGACGGTGTAGTGAGTGTAGCGTAGTGGTTGGAGTTGGTGGAGCGGAGTGTGTCAAGCAAGGGAAGAGGGTGTGGTGAGAGTAGCTATGGGTGGAGTGACTGGAGCGGAGTGAGTCGAGCGAGGGAAGAGGGTGTAGTGAGAGTAGCGTAGTAGGTGGAGTGGGTGGAGGGAAATACTGGATTTAAGTGGAACAGGGAGGGGAGAGTGGAGTGGAGTGAGTTGATGGGAGTGGAGCAGAGTGATTGGAGAGGAGTGAGTGATATGTGATACGTTTTGTGTCTTTAAGCATTCTAATAATTTTAGTTATATGAAACATTTATTTTACCAAACTGGTATTTGGGACACTTAAAAAGTGTAACATTAACTTAACATCTTCACTCATGCACTGTATCTTATCATTAACTATTCAGTTACCTTTACAGGTATGTAACAGGATGCAAATCCTGCCTTTACTTCCTGATACAAATATCTCTGGAGAAACATTGTGTGACTCTCTCCGCACCCATTCCCGTCGCCACTGTAAGGAGAGTACACTTTTTGCTAGACATACATAGATGAGGTTGAAGAAACATTGACTTACTAATTACCTCATTTCTTATAAACCATGAAATTTTTTAAGAATAAATAGGAACTGCAGTTTCATTAAGTTATGTTAACGAAAGCTATACCAAAGGTGAATTATATGAATGTGCATTAACTTTTAGGCTGTTGAGAACTTCTTGGGTTTAGTCTGTTACATAACTACACATCAATGCAGAAATCACATGGAACAAGGATATGGGAACAGGCTAGACATGTTACATTTTCTTACCAGAAGTTTCCCTGTATTAGGTTCTGTCGATACATGACAAGATTCACCTCATAGAGAAAGAACAGTGAACACTGTGTAGAAACAACTCCTATAAACTTGTGACATTATGACACTGTATAATGCTAAAACAGTAAACAATATCTATATTGTTATTTATCTTGCGTACTTACCTTGTTCTCAAAGAATGCTCTTCGAACTTGCATAGTTTCTGAAGTTGAACGCTGCTATTTTCTGTACTTGAATCAAAATTTTCTTTTTAGTAGATTCAAATTCACCATATACATAGAATATTTTTCATGTCAAGGAGGATAGATAACATTATTCAGTCTACAGTACACAGAAAATAGCTCCTTAAATGTTATGCTAGATGAGTGATATATCTGTTTCTGGCACCCTTTAACTTTGGTTACTGTACTTGCAGTCTGTGCTAAAGTCTCTCAAGTTTGCTGGACTGAAAATGTAAATTGGCATTATTTTCAGCATTTTTTGTCTCACTTTATGGACTGTAAGTGGGTGTGCTCTTACTTGACAAGAACAAATTTTACCAGACTTGGCTGTTAGACTGGTGGGTAAAGTCGAGGACTGTACTTCAGTTTCTTAGGATATGTTCATAGAATTTATGAATCGTTGGATATTGTTCTCACCCCAGGAACCTTATTAGTTTTCATTAGGATTGCTTCTAAATATTGTGTAGTGTATCATTCCTAATTGAGTTTCTTTTGATGTGAGATGTTCTTGGATATTTTTTCTCATTCTACTATTGCATTCTATGTCATATCAGTTTTCTGTGTATCTCATCTTCTGTGTTGTTTCTCCAAGATATAGTATATATTTTTAAAGACTTGATAACATGCCTTCATTGACACTTCTAAAGTTTTCTCTAATACTGTTTTGAAATTCTGTAATGATTATTTCTTGCTCAATGAGATTTTTCTTTAAATTGCTCAATAAATCATCAATGTATCTGAAAGGTCATTTTCCATATCACTCATATCAGGTTTGGGAACACATAATTCCTTGATAAATTTATATGTGTTTTTCTTTATATTTCAAGTGTAACATTTCATGTTTCAATTCACTTCAAGCATAGTTTAGGTCATAAGATTCCAATTCATTTAGCTTCTGGAATATTTATACAGTGTTGTAATTTCCTAAATCAGTTGAGGGGTCAAAAACTAAATTTCAAGCCCCATGTTACTACTATTATCAAATTCTTGAAAACACATGGGGTCATCCTTTTGAAAATATGCATACATTTGTAAGAGATAATCTCAAACCTTCAATAGATCTTCATTTCCCACCTTTGTCATTTTTAACTGGATAATGCCAAGGATAAATAGACTTCATTGACAGAATTTCTCATACAAATATCATTGAAATTCCATCCATATATATAATTACGAATAACAACAATGATACATAGAATTAAAATAATAAGTATACCAATAATACTTCCTTCACAAGGAATGTATAACAGTGGGGAACAATCCAACACAAAAATTAATTGGAAAATTGCAAGAAATGGTAAATTACAGTATTCTTATCATTGCAGGCTGATATTACAGAACAGTTCAGTCAGTGGTCATAAATCTGGTAGAATTTAAATGAAATATTAACTTACCTATTTGTGTTAGCATTCAGGTGAAGATAGCCATTCTTCTTTTTCTTCTTCTTTGAAGTTCTTTCTATATCAGTGCCTGTACTCTAATGACAACTGTTAATGAAGGAAACACTGTACTATCTGATAAAGGTATTGTAAAACCTTTGGTTATAAACCCAGAGGTCAAATGTTCTTACACACTTAATTAATTCAACAACCCTCAACTAGTTACCATTTAGACACTGACACTGGGGATGGGTAGAGGAGGGATGGGGGTCATGGCATCTGAAGGAGGAAGTGGTGCAAACAGTTCACAGCCTAATTTGGTGGCATTTTAAAGCAGTTGTGATTGGGTAATTGGGAATACACATTCATTCTTGACATGACAGTAACTGTTCAAGAATTAAGAGCAAACACAAATGTTGTTCCCATTGGGTGATCAGTTTGATTTAGGTGTCTCATGTATATATAGGAGTTTAATTAGCTACTAAAGTTGTGTGTTTGTGTGGAAGTCTTTTGTAATCACTTTAAAACTTTGTTAATATAATCTTGAAATAGAAACATTTAAGAGTGTTTTGCTACATAACATCAGAGGCCATATAATATATTATATGGTCTCTGATAACATCAAGGTGAGATGAATATATTACATGTTACCTACTAGAATGTTAATACTGCCAACCATGCACAGTACATATTTGGTACATACCAAAGTATATCTGTTACACCAAGCACATGCTCACCTTTTACATGTTACCTCCCCCAATAAAGAAGATGCTTTCCTTACACTTGAATGCTATGTTATGTAGATGTACTATAAGAAACAGTCACATTTCATTGTTTTACAATTATACAGTATCATATCTGGGTTGTATTTTCACTTTTACTGCAAACATTGTAATATGTATTGCAGAAAACAAATTCCAGTATTTGACAGATGATATTATGTACTATACTAGTATATCAAAGGTTGATTATAATCAATGAATTGCCATCATCTTTGGATATGAGTGTTTGTCTGTTTCTAGACTTGCTTGAACTGAATTGGTGAAAGTGGAATTGGTTAAAACTGTCTGTTAATGGCTGAATCAACTGAATAGACCAGCTTGAGTTAGCACTGACTGTGCAGACTTGCCATAAACATGTCACCAGATGCTTCCCTAATTGCTACTGAGTAGCTATCTGTTCAGATCTGCTGCAGCTCACCAGATTGTTGAAACAAGAATTCCAAGGAGGAACTGACTCTATGTCAGGTGTGAGAACCTACTGTTTAATTGAGCAAGGTGGTTATCTCATATAGGACATTTTGTGGGAGAAATAATAATATTTGTGAAATAATTTGTAAATCTGTGAATGAATTTGGATGGGAATATATATGGCTAGGTAATTTCTTAACTTTTGCAATGCATGTAAACAGATAATGTTGTCTTGATTTTAACCCATGTATACAATATGTTGAAAAGTTAAAGTGTGACCCATTAAGGTATTAAATATGAATTTGGATTAATATGTATACTATTGGACAGGTAAATTTAAGAAGGACTGTGGAGTAAGCTCTTACCTTGAAAAGTTTTGTTTGATAGACTGACATGTTCAGCAATCCAGTGATTTTGGTTGGTAAATTTGATAAAATGAATTAAAATATATTATATGTGTGGGGTTTTATCACTTGTTTGTCAAGAACAAAGCATTGAAGAAAAATCATGAATAATATACATGTAGTTATAAGTGTGCAGTTATAACTGAAGATGGGAAAGGTAATTATGATAAGTAATG